ATTTGACGCATGGTGAATGTCTGGTCGGTTGTTGATTTTCCAGCACACTTCAATTCCAATCGTTGGGCATGCTTTCGTCCGACCATATTTTACAAAGAAGCTGATGCATGCTCCTTATCAGTTTTCCGCCGCCGTGTTTGAATAGCTCGGCCGGCAATCCTTCGGCCCCCGCCGCTTTGTTGTTCTTCAGCCGGGTAATTGCTATTCGAACTTCTTCCTGGTCGGGCAATGGGACGTCTGCTCCATCGTTGTCGACCGGGTTCGCCTTCTCATGGCGTTGTGCGTTCACTGCCATTCAGCAGGCTGGAGAAGTGTTCCCTCCATAATTTAAGTATGCTCTGGGCATCGGTGACGAGATCACCTTTGGGGGTTTTACAAGAGTATGCTCCTGTCTTAAACCTTCTGTAAGCCGCCGCATTTCTTCGTAGAATTTTCGAGCCCCTGTCGACCAGCTTATCAAGCTCTTTGTACTCACACAGTTCGGCCTCTTTCTCTTCCTGTCTGCAAATGCGTCTCGCTTCCCTCGTCTTGATCGTAACGTCGCGAGGTAGACAGCCTTTTTTTTCTCCGCTGCGGCACGGCAATTCTCTTCGTACCAGCTGTTCTTTTGCACTTTCCGAAAAACCAATGGTTTCAGTTGCAGCTGTACGTAAGGAATTTGAAATGCCGTCCCACAGTTCCCTTATACCGAGTTGTTGACGAGTGCTCTCAGAGAGCAGGAGTGCAAGCCGAGTAGAAAATCGTTCTGCTGTCTGTTGTGACGTCGAACCTTCCTTGTGTTTGATGTCGTGCGTGTTTTGCTGCACAGAGGCGGGTGCAAATCTTGGCTGCAACAAGATAGTGGTCCGAGTCGATGTTAGGACCTCGGAGCGCTCGTGACACTGGAGATGTGTCTTCCGTCTATCACAACATGATCGATCTGGTTGGTGGTTTTTCGATCCGGAGACATCCAGGTAGCTTGATAAATCTTCTTATGCTGGAATCTAGTACTACAGATAACCATATTTCGGGCCCCGGCGAAGTCGATCAGGCTCAACCCATTTGGGGATGTTTCCTCGTGGAGGCTGAATTTACCGACCGTAGTCCCAAAGATACCTTCTTTGCCCACCCTGGCATTAAAGTCGCCAAGCACGATTTTGACATCGTGGCGGGGGCAGCTCTCATAAGTGCTTTCCAAGCNGATTTTGACATCGTGGCGGGGGCAGCTCTCATAAGTGCTTTCCAAGCACTCATAAAAGGCATCTTTGGTCACATCGTCCTTCTCTTCCGTCGGGGCGTGATGTTGATTGTGGCTAGACGTTCATTCACCGGAGTGAATGATAGTACTCGCCGACGGAGTCTCTCTCCCACCACGAATCTCACATCAAACTTGCGCTCCTTTATACGGCCACTATAGTAAATGCCACAAGAACCTACTCGTCTCTGTCCTTGTCCCGTCCATCGCATTTCTTGGACGGCGGTGATGTCAGCCTTTATTTTTACGAGGACATCAACCTGCGGGGCAGCGGCACCTTCCCAATTAAAGGACCGGACATTAAAGGTGCATGCTCTCAATTCGTAGTCATCAAAAGTGGGGTCTCTCATCCGAGACTGTTGTTGCGTTGTCATTGGGGTGGTTTTTTGACGTGGCGGGTCCCAAACTTAGTGCACAACCCTATGCAGGGGTAAAATCGTTAGTTTTCATTAAAATTATATTACTAATGTCAAAAAAGGAAAATATTCACTTTCACAATTTGTCGTATCAAAATAGCGCATCAGCCTGAGGTGGCATCACTCTTCCTATCTACCGACAATATAATAGTTTTGATCATAAAACGGTTATTTATAGCACATAAAACTAACCCTGATGTATATAGAATACTACTGATTCAACTGATCAGAAGATGAGACGAGGTCAAGAATGATGAGTGAAATTCGGATGCCTAACCGCCCGTACACTGTATATGTGCGTTATCTTACTGACGTAAAAGGACAGCAGGGAAGGGAGGATGGAGTCTTATGCGTAGAAGTTAATGCAAGTGAGAAAAGTTCTCTGATTGCTAGGTTTGGGGCCCGCCACGTAGAAAACGCCCCCAATGAAAATTAAACAACAGCCTCGTAAAAGACCCGCTAGGGGAAGCAGAGGAGGAAGATTTTCACTCCGTAGGAAAGACAAGGTGGAGAAGGACCTGGCTTCACTTGGAATCTCTAATTGACCCCACATTGCGAGAAGAAGAAACTGTTGTTAACACGGCTAAATCCGCGTAAGCGGTGTTTATGAGAGAACAGAAGAAGAACAGGCCAGAGGCAATACATTTTATGTATGTGACCTGCTGGAAAATTTGACAATGGGGGGTATCATCACTTTGCAAACATAGAGCCTTTAAGGTGCCTGCACCTCTCATCTAAAAATGGTGGATCATAACTTTTCAAATCTTTTGATATCGAAATTAGAAACCCAGTGCCGACTGGAAGATTTGAAGTGTTACTCTTAATGGCCGGCAGCACTTGGGAGAAAATACTAGAAATAGAAGGCTTTCAAGGTAATCGGCCAGTACCAGTATGGTCGCCTGCATATAATGGGAGACAGACTAATAAACTTCAGACAAGTCTCCGTACAATAACAGGATGTTGCTTGATGTCTTCTACCGAACACTTGCATAATGAGGCTTGCATGCTTCCGGTTAAGGAACACAATGTACTTCTCTCCAAGAGTATGCTTTCGTAGATATCATTCTTGAAGCTACCTGTTTTTAGCGGAGCCGCCTCCCTAAGTATCATGAGATTATTCTTTGATTTCCAACGACCAGAACACGGACGATATGAATAGCATCCTTTGAGTCAAACTTTGCTGATGAAAAGCTCAAGTTGTCTAGTGAATAACTTTGTTCTAGATACTTTAGCAGGTTAAACCCCTACTTATTAATCGATACCTACATATCAAATATATGTTCTACCTACACGACATACTTCTTGCATAACCCGTCGGATCAGCATGTTCTCTCGGCCTCCCGTTAGATGACGTTGACAATTAACTTACAAACCACCCAAAATCTGGAAAATCTCTACAACAACAAAAACTCAATGAGGCTAACTCTTTACCGAATATATCGACCATATTGTGAGATCGCCATATTGTGAGATCTAACCCCGTTTGGATCGGTGAATGTTAATCTGCCTTGCAGCAGGGTTGCTCCTTATCCTCCTGACTCGTGCTGGCATTGAGTCCAACCCGGGCC